AATAGCTGAAGTTAAAGGGCAAACCTAAACCTCATTCTAGTGAAAAATCAAGGTCAAGACAAATTATTCTTTCAAAGTGTAATCCAAATCTTTGAACCAGCTGATGTCTTCCCTCTGATTTCAGTGAGCTTGGATCAAAATTTCTTTCTTTTTCCTAACATACTAGAATGATGAGGTCATTTCCAAACAAATGATGTGGCCATGTACGCCACTCCAGCATTCATTGTGACACCAGTAAAAAAATATGTTAGTCTCAGTTCAAAAAGCTCTTCAGTCTTCCAGCACCAGAAAAAAGGCTAACAGCTGAAGTAAGATATGTCTGCCCATAGACATATCTTATGCCATCTAGCCATAACTAGGCTTCTCCTACCTGACCCCTCTAATTCTCTGGGTAGCTGCAGATTGTTGTTGTGTGGGCCTAGTAATCTCTCTGGTCTCATTGAGTTGCCCTTCCACACAGTTTTAGGTGTTTAGGTGAGCATGTTACTCACTCGGATACCACCTAATAACACAAGCTAGCCTGCTCACTGAGCTCACTTTACTTAAAACCAACCAATTGTAAATTGAGGGCCTTGATCTGTGAAGAAAAAAAGGAAGGCAAGAAAACAGATTTAAGACTAGACTTTGCAGGCTGAACTTGTATCTCCCCACTCAGTTTATAGTCTTTCTAAACAGTGAGCCTACTACCTCCGCTCATGCCACAGAGGGCAGAAATTGTGAGCATTTAACAAAAAAATCCTAGATAAGATTATGCACTATAAGATTATCCATTTGATGAGGCTAAAAGTGTCCCGGCGTGAGRGCAGTGCATAGCAAGATGTGTCAGGCACTATGCTTGTTCTTGCTCCCGTGAAAGCAAATACACTTGATGACTAAAATAACATTTGGCTCGGATGAGATTCCTTTACCTGTTAAGGTAACTGAGTTACCAATTTACTGATAACTGAGTTACCAGTAAAGGCAACTGATGCTGCCGTAGGGTGATATGATGTAGGTGCATCTCTCTTAGGAAACTGTGCTTAGAGTATAAACTGTGTTTGTGTTAAGTCAGCCTTACCACACTCTTATGGCCTGGTAGTACAGAGCTCTTCAGCTCCTGAAGGGTTAATTATTTAGACCTCAGTTTCTACAGTTTCTGTGCTGATATTTTATACACCCAGGTAGAGAGCATCTCACCAAACCACACCAGAATTCCCACTGGTTTCTATTGGACTGGGATCAATGCCTTCATAATTGATGGAAAGCCTCACAAAAAAGTACAAATACTGCCTTCCAGCATGATGAAGCTGGTTGCTGAGAGTGGTAATGTAGCACTTTTGGCCAATATTATTAGGGAAATTATTAATAAGCATGAAAGCTTCTAGTTCTTAATCCATATTTCCATTTTGCCAGAATATAGCTATGAAAAGCCACTTCCAATTTTACCTTCTGATTAGACTCTGGTACTAAGCAGGAGACATTCTTGTGGCGATCCAGGAATCGTTCAAAGTCATCATCACTGATGAGAAACTTTTCTACTTCCCTCAGAGCATCCTCACCACAGTTCTCCCCTTCGATGAGCAGGCACTGGAAAACCTGAAGACAAAAATGCACCCGATGAAGAGTTTAGGTTTTTATTTGCCACGAGAACTGCCATGATCATTAGAGACTTCAGTAGTCTCAGTACCTGTCTTCAAATTTGCCTGACAGTGGAGCTGTACTGATACAAACTGTGACAAGTGAATCGTACACAAAGGGCGCAATGTAGAGTTGCATTTCATAAATGAACTGGAAGAGTGCGTCTACTTAAGAGCTTCCTTCTAAAATCAAAGTTCCCAAATATATTCCAAACAGACTTTGGGGAAAAAGGTGCCTTTGCCACCAATATGGTCTGCAACTCCAGAAAGAAAACAGAGTAGAAACCTTTACCTTCCAGCGCACAGGGTTGAGTGCCTTGATCTGCTCATTCATATCTTCCTCAATGTTAAATCTGTTGATGACTGAATTTATTTTGAAAGCAACAGCATAGTCTCGGCACCACTTTCTCAGTTTATGCAGTTTCTCCACGTGGTTCTTCTTTCCTTGACCACGACCAATTAAAACATTGACTTCCTCATCAAAACTATCGCAAGAAATCGCCAAAATGTCTAAATATTCACCTGAAAACAAGTTTTAAAAATGGATTAACATTTCTATCTCCAGTTGAAAGTTGTCAAGCCCCTGCCCACTTCTACTTCCTCGTGATCTGGCACGAATCATCCCATGGACACCATTCTGTGCAACTGCACAAACCACAAGAGCCGCCGCAGCAGCAGTATCTGCAGCATCCCCACCCCTGCATGGCGGTTGTGCTACGGTTTGGCAAGACTACGACACGAAAGAGGCATAATAACAAGCTGCACATGCTCACAACATGTAACTAACCACACTTCACCAATGTTTGATTTTATTTGGCATTTATTCCAACTGACCCACTAACAAACCGCCTCCCATTTGCACTAACATAAATAAGTAAATAAAGTCTCGCTATGAGGCTGCACTAAGAAAGCTCGCAGGCCAAGTGAGCACTTCTGTATGTGTTGAGGTTTCCTTACCATACTTCTTGAACCACTGCTCTCTGATCATGCTGCCGTTGCTCACGATGCTGACGCTCGGCAGCTTCAAAACCTGCTTGCAAAACTGCACCAGCTTGCCCACAAACTCGCCTCTGTCCTGGAGAAACGGTTCCCCTCCGGAGAAGTTGATTTTCTCCATCCCTAGGAAGGGGAGCAGAGACGGGATGCTGCCATGAGCCTCTCTCAGCCGTTTTGGGCAGCTCCAAGCCTCGCTATAACACTGGGCTCGGGCTGCACTCACCTGCCTCCTTGAGCATGGCCAGCCCGCGCTTGGCCTCCTCCAGCGGCAGCACGAAGGAGGTCTTGGCCGTGTGGAAGCAGAAGCCGCACTTGTAGTTGCACTGGCGTGTGAAGTGGTAGTTGACGCTCGTGGGCGTCGGGGCCGCCCCGTCCCGCCGCCTCTCCCGCTGCCGCCCCGCGGCCGCGCCGCGCACGGGGGCCGCAGGCCGCCGCCAGCCGCGCAGGGGCAGCGAGAGGCGCGCGAGGCTGCAGCACAGCGCGCTCAGCCGCGCGCACAGCGCGGCCAGCAGCGCCAGCGGCAGCGCCGCCACCTGCATGGCCCGGCCCGGCTCGGCTTGGTCCGGCTCGGCTCGGCTCGGCTCGGCCGGGCTGTATTCGGCTCGGCTTGACCGGGCTCTGCTCGCCGTTTGCATCTCGGCGCGCCGCGCTCCGCACTTAAGCGCGCAAGGGCCGGTCCCGCCCCGCAGCGCGGGGAAGCTCTCGGTTTCGTTTTCCTTTCTCGCAAAAGGGAAACCTGGCACGGAGCCCGCGGGCCCACCCAGCCGGGCCGCGAGCTCATGGTGCCCCGCGTCCCCGCTGGCATCCGTCCTCCGCCGCGCACCCCTGGGTGGCCCCGCCGGGCCCAGCTCCTGGCGCAAGGAGCACAGAAAGGTCTCTGCGGTCTCAGTGGCTCCGGTTCTCCCAATCGACAAGGGTGTRATGGGTGAAAGGGAGTAAAAGTGGAACTCATCTGCTTGTGTCACATCGGGAGCTCTTCACCTTAAAGCAGGTCTGCAGAGCCCCACTGAGCAGAGGACAGGTGACTGCTGCAGGGTAATTGGGAGAAAATACTTGAAATATATTCAATTCTTCATCTCAGATCCTGCCTAAAGCMCTTAAGTGGCAACACTATGTTGAAAATAGTATGGGCAAAGGTGGCAGCTGGCAGAGGCAGCTGAGTGCCTGTCTTGGCAGTGCCAAGAGAGACCAAGCGCCCACCTCTTGTGTTCCTTGAGCCATTTGATGCCCAGYATTTATCATGGGAGAGGACTCATGAGGCTTGTGTCGCAGCTACAGCTGCTGTCTTCAGTCCCAGGATGCTCTCCACAGTCTGCCTGCCTTGTACGCTGCCGTTCTCCTTTGGGTCATTTGTCTCCATGTGTGCTTGGCCAATGCCAGCATTGCTAAACTGCTGAGATGCTGAGCCAGCTCTGTCTGAACACGTCACGAACGCTCAAATCTGAACATCTACAAGCTGTGGCTTGGATAGCAGGTTTAAAATACTGCTTTCCTTGCTTCCATTTCCCTGCCGGAGCTGCTAATGCAGCAGGAGAGATCTGGCCTTGGGTTGGCAGCCAAACCTTCTTCTTCCGCCTTGGAAAGAATAGGAATAAAAATAAAAATAATAAGAAAGATAGGAGAATTAATCCTATTTACTACTTTTAATTAGAAACAACACTAGCTTGTTCATAGAAAGGTAGAATCATAGAATCAAGAATCATTATGGTTGGAAAAGACCTCTAAGATAGGCTGAATAATACTGTTATTTGCTATCTTTAATTTCCCATCACCTTTCCTTTACTTTCCTTGATCTGATCTCCTGGTGCACTAATGGCTGTAGTAGTGGATTACTGGAAACAAGTTTTCCCATTCAGGCAATATTTCAATTCTCTATCAGCTCTCTTGCTGGAAGTGATTAATGCCCATGGGGCAGGAAGGGAGATTTTTTTTTTCCAGCAGCTAGCTCTGGTACTGCTGCTTCACAAATATTCTTGCAGCATAATGAGAAATATTTCCATTCCCAAGCTTCCAAAGTTGCCCATAGCTCGTCTGTAGGAACTATTTGGACTTGTAATCATGGATCTGTGGGTCCTTAATTTTCTTTGAAGTTACGTAAGATACAAACCATGTTACATAAGACACAAACAATGAAAGTAGGATTTTATAATAAGAAAAAGGGCTTGTTGTCCACAAACTTGAGAACAGAATTGTTTAAGGAGAAAAGCAATGGAATAGGAGTTAGACTCCCATGACATTGAATTTGCYCCTTGGTTATTTCCAGGATTCAGTGAATTTGCAGAACTCTGGTACCGTCCGTTGCCCCATAGTGCTCACAAATCCTTTCTGCTTCATAATAGGAACTCTCTTTATATTTGCACTTTCTCTTGTCCTCAATGCAAAGTCCTTTCACACCTGATTCTTAACTTTTATTAATGCAAGTTGAGTCCATGCAGTTGCAGTCAGTACAGCTTTTTCCCYTCCTTTGAGTCTAAAATCTTTTAATGAGAAAAATCTCTCTGTGTGTTTGTGAGCATCTGTGTTTTTTTTTGTGTGCACGTGTGCACATATGCCATCACAGCCACAATCCGTAACACACAATTAGTTTTGCATAGAGATCTTGTTCTTGAGGTGAGATACTTAGCTCACATTGTTTAAGTAACTTCCATGACCTTCTGCAAGTTTGGACATTACACAAGATCCACTGAATAGCCATGAGTTTGGCAAAGTGGTTCCCCAAAGTGTCAAAAATTCCTAAATTTTTACCAATTTCTCTCAACAGGAGACTTGAATCAGATATACAAAGATGAGTAAACTAGAAGAATGCTGTTTGAAGAACTAGCAGACCAAATGTTATAAAAATGAATTATTCACAGGTTTTTGAGGGTTTCAATAGACAGAGCTTAGATCTTGTCCAAGCTAGTTTATTCAGCTTTAGTCAGCTACCTCCTCATTTGAAGGGGTCTAGAAGTACTACAGGAGGATCTTTTCATACTATGATAAATACAACTTGTATCATACTTAATTTGCAGGTACTTACAATACAGAAGCACAACTAGACAGATATCCAGACTCCTGGCTTACCTAAACATAATACATCTTCCTCAACTATTTTATCTTCTTCAAAAACACTTTCGACTTTGCGCACACCACACTCAACATTTTTTTATTACTGACCTTACTTTCCATGTGCACGTACGCATGCTCTAGCACTGTTACAGTTTGGTTCTTATTCATGGAGATCTACCATGCCATTTCAAGTCTCGTGCTAGCTAAAAATCCTCTAATATATTAGCTCACTAATAATTAAACACTACAACAATTAAATAGCAATTGCTACATCATCAGAACACTGCTGTTTTCTAGATGCTTTTATTTGAAAGTCAGAATCTTGGGGAACACAAAATTCATAGAACTCAAGCTTATTTGAAACTTCGTGTTCTCCTTAGTTTTCTCTATGCTGCTATACAAAATGACAATTATAAACGCTTTCTTCCTTCTTTCCTCCCACACAACTTAACCTCCCGAATATGTTTTCTCTGAATTATCTGTAAAGGTCATGTGTAATTGTTACYACAAAGTAACCACAGACTTGGCTGAAGTAGCAAGGTTCCAAACAGACAGACTTGGACATGTTCCCCCTRCAGCCACACAAATCTTAGCAGTACCAAAGAAAATCATTTGTGTTTTACTTTCCAAAWTGTTCTCTAGCTCACATCCTCTCTGGTGAAATCTATAAGAAAAGACAGATGTGCTTTTTTTTTGCTATGGATTTGATTCTGAACTTTTCAAAGAGCTGTAATCAGATTTCTGGCCTGTCACCTCCTAGAGAAGGCTCAAAAATAGCATGATCACAGAATCACAGAATCACAGAATCACAGAATATTCAAGGTTGGAAGGGACCCCKAGAGATCATCTAGTCCAACCCCTCTGCTCCAGYAGGGACACCCAAAGCACAGGGCGGCATCCAGGCCGGTTTGGAAGATCTCCAGAGAAGGAGACTCCACARCCTCCCTGGGCAGCCTGTTCCAGGGCTCTGGCACCCTCACAGTGAAAAAGTTCTTCCTCACGTGGAGATGGAACTGCCTGTGTTTCAACTTACACCCATTGCTGTTCAAATTTCATGGCAATGATGCTCTCTGAAAGTGGTAGCAGATCTGCTTCCTTCCCCTTGATTCCTATGGAAGTCATCCCACAGGGGGAGGACAAGGTCACAGCATTCACAATGTTTCAGTACTRTAAATATGCACAAAAAATATTTTAAAAGTAAATACAATGATTCAAATACTGGTGTGCTTGATGGAACAAAGGTACACAACTAGCATGGAATCATCCAAGTGGATAAATAGTGCCCACAGACAATGCTGCTGTGCTCCCTAATTCCTAGAGAAGCAAAAACTTAAAAACAAAGAATATAATATTTATCCAAATAAATTTTATTTAAATAAAGAAATTACTTTCTCCAGTGTTCTTGGGTTCCAATGAGACAGTATCTTGACAGGAAAAAAAAAAAAAAAAAAAAAACATTATTGACATGATATGAACCAATTGCATAAGTTATGGTTTCCACTTCCCAGTGCCAGGAGGAGCTATTTTCATGCCAGCCCTGTGGATTGTAGGAGAGGACAATTCGAGAAACATTCTCTGAAATGATTCAAGGACAATCAATATCAATTTATGGTCTTGTGATCTTATTCCCACATTATTATATTTACTATATTTAAAGTTTATTCTACARGAAATCATCTACTTCCCATTCTTCAGTATTTTAGCTACTTGTACAGACCTTCAACTTAAGTGATTTATCTTAGTTCCAGTGGTTTGTTTAAATTGTTTATCTACACTGTGCATTTAGAAATGTTTGTAAAGCTACAGGTCGACTTATTTYACAGAATGTAAAATGGTAATAGCCCTTGTGAAGAAACCAAGAAGTGCTTAACATATTTAAACAGATTCATACTCTCTGTAGTCTTTCAATACAGACAAAGATCCATCTTTGAGGCAGAAAGCAGGTGCAGTTTCCCATATTKTTACCTGATTAGTCACATATTTGTGACATATTTGTGTTTATAATGTGATGGGAAAAATGTAGAATTTTCCAAGACACTTTTAAGAAATTAGCTGTTTGGGTAGATATGACAAGTATATGAGAAGGAATCAGTAACTTGCACGCAGGGTCAGATCAAAACATTGACAAACTGTGGTGGGCAGGGAAAAGGCGAAATGAAAGTAAAACCTTGCCATTTACTCAGCTGGGAGGAGAATGGCAATTGTGGCATTAGGAAGCTGGAAAAAACAGGAGCATTGACCTAGATAGCTCAGTGTAGAACAGAAACAGTTGATTTTCAAGTGAAACTTGGCAACAGAGCWATTGGACCTCACAAAACTGAGTAAACAAACAAGTGTCAGATGAGATTCAGTACATAGTAATGCATGTAATAAAAAAACATGTTTATGTAACACTGAGCTCAGCAGTGGTGAGTGCAGAGAACCACTGAACTAATTGGCATAATGGAAGCAGCAGTGATAAAAAGTCAATGAAAGGTTGGGTAGTATCAGG